GTAACGGTAGCAGTCCCTGGCCGAATTTATTAAAATTTGTCAAACTTTAAATTATGACGGGAGTGATATGTGACGGGCATGTTTTTTCGAAAATAAAAGCATATAAATACCTAAAAGCAATTCGCACATATTCCTCTGTGATATACTGTGCGTTACTTTCGTCAGGTTTTTTACAGTGGCCAAGATATGTTTTCCTTCAAAAAATAACTATTTTGTGTATTTTGTGAGGGGCGTGATATTAAAATATGCTTTGATTCAATATACAATGGGCCGTATGCATAAAAAAATAAGCAATTACTTTTACTTAAAATTTCATACCTTTCACTTAAATTTGTTTGAAAAAATCGAGTAAAAGGTCTGAAATTTTTAGAAAAAGCATTTGCTTAGGTTTTATGCATACGGCCCAATAAAATATTTAGTACTTGCCCGAAAAACTTGAATTACACTGCTAAAATGCTGACGAATGGTTCTCTGCATTGACCGTTTAAACCATGCCAAAAGACAATAGACTACGAAAATCAGCCTTGTCAATTTTGAAGAAAATTAACGTCTCATATGAGAATAGTACAACCTAAAGTACCTTACCTTGTTATGTTTTTAACATGACAAAAACTTGAATCTGAACACGAAATCAGAATACAAGAAAGTAGAAAAGTTTTTGAGATATTGCCAAATTTCGGGTTTTTTTGATCTAAAAAAAGTGCACTAACTTACTTGTAACTTTCTTTCGATGCAGTTAGCCAATTATAAATTTCTACTTTCTTGTATTCTGATTTCGGATTCAGAGAAAAATTCATAATGTCGCGGTTGGCCAACTACATCCAAAGAAAACTGCAATTAAATAAGTGCACTTTTTTCAGATCTCAAAAGCGTGAAATTCGGCTAAATCTCAAAAACTGTTTTACTTTTTTGTATTCCAATTTCGAATTCGGATTCAGTGGAAAATTCTTCATAAAGCGTCTACAAAAATGTCGCGGCTGGCTAACTATATCTAAAAAAATTTTAATTAAGTGAGTGCATTTTTTCAGATTTCAAAAACCCGAAATTCGGCTATATCTAAAAAAACTGTTGTGCTCTCTTACATTTTAATTTCGTATTCGGATTCAGCAGGAAATTTTACATTAGAATGCATACAAAAATATAGCTGGTCGGACAATTTTTTCATTTCTGTAAACTTGTGTTATTGCCGACAAAAATGAATGGCGGACCCCAGTTCGTTCTGATGAAAAAACTGTAGTCCTTTTGCCACGCCCAGCACAAATTATATATCGTTTGAAAGCTTGGAAAATAAGCTATTCACATAAGCCATTCGCGAAAAAAATGGTACATTGTTTAAAAAATGCAATAAATTTGTTTTATTGCAAATTTTTTGCAAAAAAAATTTCAAAAAATTTCAATTTCCACCACGGAAAGCACGGTAAACGTTCAAATAGATCAGCAATTTTTGATTCCTTCTCATAAGTGTGACATGAGATAAGAATTTTAAGAAAACTTGTGCTAAGAAAAAGGGTTGAAATTTCATATTTAAATTCGTATAACTCGACAAAAAACCATAGCAACAACGTGGTGGAGATTGAATAAAATGCTGCAATAAAATGTTTTTCCTCGCACACTTGACGAATTTTGCCCCAGACCAAAATTCTTTGGGACTACAAAACTGAATAACCAAAAAATATGTATATAAAAGTGTTAATTAAAAATTTGTTGGAAACTTTTTGAATATCGCTAAGTTTTTGTCAATTTTGTAGTGTTTGCATCATTGTTTTATGTATATGAATTTTATTGTAGAATGACATTTTTAATATTGAGAAAAAAAACCAAATTACTAATAGTTCTGTAACTGTATATATATTATTTTTACCTACCTTCACAATAGCCTCCGTCATCTTTTGATTGCCACCATATAACCGATTAATGAAATGTAAGTCCTTGAAATACCACAATGTACTGATATTAGTATTTTCCAATGCCATACGATTACACTCTCTTTTATATACAGTGCGTAAATTGTCCCACTTGCGAGTAACTGCATCTTTAGCCAATGACAAATTAAAACGTCGTTTGAATTCCATTACAATCCACTCAAGAAAGTGCTGACGTTTGGCCCGATCACGAAATTGTGGATGACGGTGGTCCCACAAGAAAGTATTGCGCCTATATGAATCGATAAGGAATTGTATCATTTTACGATCCTTTATATGCATTGCTAGACCGGAGTCCTAAATAAAAAAAAATATATATATATGTTTTATTAAATTAACATTAATGTAATATTTATGGCAATGTCTACAAACACACGCGCCACGGTAAAATTACGTGGATTATGTGTTGACGGAGAAGTGGGGCAGAACTTCTTTATGCGTAGGCGGCCTTCGGCCGCGCTCAGGGATATAACCCTTATTACTCAGAATTCTCCTTTCTGTGATGCCGGAGAAGTGGGACAGAACTTCTTCTACGTAGGTGTCCTTCGGCCGCGCTTAGGGATTATAATCCTTACTACTCAGAATTCTCCTTTCTGTGTTGCCCGAGGAGTGGGACAGAACTTCTTTCTGCGTAGGCGGTCTTCGGCCGCGCTAGGGATTATAACCCTTAATACTCACAATTCTCCTTTCTGTGGTGCCGGAGAAGTGGGACAGAACTTATTTCTGCGTAGGCGGCCTTCGGCCGCGCTTAGGGATTATAACCCTTACTACTCAGAATTCTCCTTTCTGTGTTGCTGGAGAAGTTGGACAGAACTTCTTTCGGCGTAATTTTTACCGTGGATCTACGGTAATTTTTAACGTGCATCCACGATAAAAGTTACCGTGGCGCGTGTAAGTAGACACTCCCTATATATATATACCGCTCCGTTATTTCCTCCCAATAAAGATTGTTCAACTAAATCATCATAATTATTTTCATCTTCCTCATCTCTTGGATAAATAGGATCTTCCTCATCATCATTGTTGGTATAATCGTCATAATTTCCGTAATCATTGGTATAGTTGTCTCCGCCTCCTTCCATTACAACCTCAGGCTCAGTACGTTCTTGCTTTACTGGATAAATTGAATTATCCGCTATGCCTCTTTCACTAGGAAACCCAGGAGTTATTGAATTATCTGCTTGTGGTAGTTCATGTTGCTCCTGGAAGAAATTTAATTGTTATAAAGGTAAGCTATAGCTAGAGATAATATGTATTTACTTCATCAACTTCTTCCTTGATCATAACTGTTTGTGGTACCAAAAGTGAGGGGTCCGTATCGGTAAGATCTTCAGTACCTTCACCACTTCGGCCGCTATTTGTTTCACCATAAGAATCATCATATCCGAGTCTAAAAAGGATGTATTTATTGCTGATAAAACAGTTTTGCTACGTTATGCTGATATTAATATGTGAGCGTTCGTAATATCGATTTAACTCATCAGTTGGTTACATTCCATTTGATATGTATATATATTTACTCACAATTATATAAACCTATATAGTAAATATATACGTATATATATACACACATATATTTTGCGCAACTCTGGCTTGGAAAGGCAATCACTTTTAATAACACACAAACACGTACTAGGTACTAACTTACCCTAGCATACCACCAAAGAAACCTTTTTGATCCATTGCTTGAGTTCCATGGTCGGTTTGCATGTGTCCTATAAATGCATCGAAATAGAGAAATTTGGCCGGGCAAAACATACAACCCAAAGCAAAGAATTGCTGATCCTCTGTGGCTGTGATAATGCCGCACTCTTTCGTACACAAACGGAAGATGTCTTCATCGCTTGTTGGTTGATATGGTAAAACACTCATCTCGAACTACCAAAATTTAGGAG